GTTTCTAATTTCAGGAGGCTCCTAAAGTTATTTCCACAGCTAGGGGGAGACAGTGAGCAAACACAGATGACTGGCTCCAGATTGCTTTGATTCGCTCCTGATTCTGCCCTGTTTCACTGGTGTGTGGGGGGTATGGTGTGTGTGTGTGTGTGTGTGTGTGTGTGTGTGTGTGTGTGTGTGGTGTGTGTAGTGTATGTGTGGTGAGTGTGTGCATGAGTGTGTGTGTGGTGTGAGTGTGTGGTGTGTGTGTGGTGTGTGTGAATGTGTGTGTGCAGTGTGTGTGTGAGTGTGTGTGTTATGTGAGTGTGTGAGTGTGTGTGTGGTGTGAATGTGTGGTCTGTGTGAGTATGTGTGTTTTCTGTTCTGTAAAGTGGGTATAATAATACCAAGGCAACATTCTTGTTGGAGGAACTAAAGATACATAAAAGAAAGCACATGCTGACAACCTGAAACACATAGTCAAAGAATAGTTTAAATGTTCTTTTGTTTTGTGCCCTTCGTGCTTCACAATACGTTAGGCACACAGGAACCAGTCTTTTGGTTAAGATCGAACAACGTGATATTCAGCTAGCCATCTCCATTTAATATATCAGTAGATATGTTTTATAGCAGTCTCTAAAGCCAAGCTGCCTGTTTCTGGCCTCTAGCAGCAAGGGTGGCACCATGACCAAGTATATCAGACAGTCTTCAGAAGGAACCAACGGCAATATTTTTGACACATCCTATAACATTTTCAATCCTCTGAACACTACCTTATGAAGTCTTTCCAGTTAGGGTATCCTTAAGAAAATGTGAGCAAGTTAGACAAGATGGATAGGTCCCTGTATTGAAGGACCACGCCGTGTGTAAAATACTGATACCTGTCTCTGACTGACCTAAATAATGGCATCGCTGAAAGTGGGTATACACATGAAGTTTCTAAAGATGTGTCTCTGGGAGGGTGATGAAGTTATTCATACATAATTCTGTTGCTAAGCATTTTCTATAAATATGAAATGGCAGTGGTTGGGGGAGGCATTTGCACTTATCCTAAAAGGAAAACACCTTGTCAGTGTTTAAATGGGGTTTGAATAGAATTCAAAGTCAGAAGGATTTTGCACCTTTTCTTCTTATGACTGTAACGACTGTTGAAGTAAACTGGCTGGAGGTTATGAGGACGAGCCAGAAGAAAGGGGAGGAAGAGGGAATTAGCTGGTATTTATAAGACTTTGGTTTTCTCCATTAGCTGGGTGGATTGTTTGTGGAAGAAGAATGCAAGAGGGAACGAACAGAGTGCCTCAGAATTTTCTCCTGTTTAAGTGTGTCATAGTCACTGGCATTGACCTGCTGATTTTAATTAGGGATTATCAGCCTATAAAAACCCATGTACTGAGAGGTATTTAGAGCGTCCAGTGAATCACGGGATCATATGAACAGGATGTGTTCTCCAGGACTGCCATCTGATCTCTATCTATGTGTGTTTCGGGTGAGCTGTTATATATGTTTTAGTTTAACCAACTAGATGCAATCCTTAGATAGGAAATGGTGGCTTTCTTGGAATAACAAACCACAGCATATAAGTACATTAAGGCAGGATGGATTCAAACGTGTTTAGATGGGTTGGGGAAATGATAAATGCTGTATTATGATTTTTAAATCCACTTCTGGCCAACTTTGGACTTTATTTCAAACAGCTGTGGCCCATTTGGAAGCCAGTTTGCAGCTCGGCAGAACACTAATATTTACTGTAGGAATCACATACCTTTAAAATATTTGTCTTTTCCTGAGAGAAACTATGGCTTTCTCAAACTTAACTTTGACATAAATCAGATCCATCCTCGCAGGTCAGGCCCATGCGCTTGATCACAGAGGTGATTTCTCACTGCCGAATACAATCCCACAACCCCTTTGGTTTCTGCAAATGAAGGGCTTTCTCCATCCATATCGTAAAGTTTTGAAACATCTGTTAGGAATTTTTTTTTAAACCAGTTATCTTGACACTTCTGCTCTAAAGTAAGAATTTCCCCTATTTCCTTTACGTATGGAATTCTTACGTATGATTATCATTGTCTCGTGTTTGAAGCCTTTGGACATTTCCTTTAATACTGGACTCAAACAGCACCCTAGCCCAATGTTAGAGGGCCGTGTTAGTGAGGCGTACACAGCATGTAGTATTGGAACCATTAAGCAATTCTCAAAGGTGGAAGGTCTAATTATTACTGGTAGACAACCTCAGATTTTCGCTCTGATCTGGGTTAGCCTCCTTTAAATACAGTTATAGAACTGTGCCTCCTGAAATGACCTCCCCCCCCCCCTTGGATTCTCCCACTGAATGTCTGCAGCTGTTTGGGAACCTGTGGACCCATCAATCCCTGTAATGTGAAGTGATGGGCTTACGCTGCCCTAAAGTGGTGTTTGGGCACTTACACAGTGATCCCGACATAGCGGATCATCAATAGCCAATGGGGAGCCATTTGTGAAACAGGGATCTCTGAATGCTAGTCAGGTATCCCATAACAGCATCGATCCTGGGTGGAACCACGCCGTACGTTCAGCCTGCAGTGGGGGAGTTACGCGCCTCTCTGTCCAAGTTGTTAATCAGCACATTGTAGGAAGTGTTAACGCTTTGTGTGATGCTAGTCGCCAGCAGCCCCACAAAGGGTAACGGCATGCTTACATTGTTGCAGTTCCAGTAGAAGCCAAGGAGAGACAGGAAGTGCTAGAATCATGCCGTCTTACCTTTCCTACTTAGGAAACAATACTTTGGGGAAGACTAGAAAGCAGCATAGATTATAATTCTCTCTAAAAGAAAAACGAATGCTAACCAGCTAATGTGACACACGCCATAGCATATTAATCAAAATCATGATATAATTATTTAGGACACTTAGAGGTGTCAAAGTTTTGTTTACTAAGTATTTTCCTCAAAGTCCGTAGACTTTCTAAGATGTCTGTGTGTGGAGGAGAAAATACCTCTCAAAAACATTGTGTATGTGTACATGTGCGTGATGCATGCATGCACATGAATGTGTAGGGACATATGCCCCTATGCATACATGCAGAAATTACAAATGACCCTGGGTCTCTCCCTCTCTTGTTCCCTGCCCTGTTGCCTGAGACAAGGTCTCCTTCTGAACAGTCAGCTTGCCATTTAGGCTAGGCCTGCTACCCAGCAAGCTCTTCTCTCAAGATCTCCCTGTCTCTACCCTGCGATGCTGGGGTCACAGGCATGCACAGCCATGCTGAGAAATTGACATGGCTCCTGGGGATTCCAAATCAAGCCCTCATTCTTGCAGCCAAGCACTCTTCGCACTGACCTACCTACCATTCCAGCCCCCTCAGAACTACTTTAAGGGAAAGAAGAGAAAGCAGTGTGCGTAAAGCCGTTATTTACAAATTATGTCCTGGAGAAATGGGCTGAAGGAAACACTAGTAGGAGAAATCTCATCAGAAGCGCTCTGTTCCTAAATGTGGCTGGACCGAGTAAGGTCATAGTGTTCAAATTCTTGACTCTAGCGGTCATTTATATTCATGTAAGAATTTCCACGGAAGGTTCTGGATTTAGATTCTGCAATGGTTGTGAATCAATGGCAATCCTATGCTTTAATCAAAAGAAATTAACTTTTTTATTGTGAACAATAAGAAAAGTCCTACACAGGATTTCTAATTCTGTTTGGTTTCTTATGTTAGTAAAGACGGGAGGATGATCAGATGATCATTTGCACTGGTTAATGCGCCTTTGCTGTAGTTCGCTCTTCTGTACAAAATTATAGCTGTGAAAGTCAAAACTGCAGCCTCCCTAAAGAGGAGTAATAGCATTCATTTCATAGGTCCTGTTACAGTGTCACTGCGAGTGTAGTTATTTGTTTACCTGGGCAAAATGTTCCGCTGGAGTTAAAATATTCATGAGTAAGTAATAGTTCTCACATCTTGCATTTCAGAGTCTGGGCACAGCAAACCTCTCTCTCTAGAAAGTAAAGATCGCCCTCTACTGCTGGCTGCTTGGCCTTATACACAATCCTTGTTTACTTCCCGAACAGATTCTCCACTTCCCAACATCAACCTCAGTCTGAGTTAGATTCTCCACTTCCCAACATCAACCTCAGTCTGGTTAATATTCACAGTAGGGGATGCATTCCCAGCTCCACGGTGAATGTTAAAGAGCATCTTGTTCATCTGAACTGGTTTTTAGAAGATTGCAGAACTTTGGAACCTTGAAAACTCAGTCTCAGGGAGGAAGATGAAGCCCTCTGTACCCCGGCATGGCCTCTGTTTAATTAGTGCGCAGTGACCCCCGGCACACAGGAGCTGGTCATTTCCCAGGTCTCAGTTTCCGCTTTTTATTTGGTTGCCAAGCCTCCGTGAGTGTCTGTTCGTTGCGGACGACTCTTACAAGGTCCCCATAGCTGTCATCGTGTTTCTGTTGGAAAGTACATGATGTGCAGATCACATGGCGTGGCGGGTTGCGTCCTGACCCTAGCCAGCCACCATTCCCATCTTAGCCCCATTGTACTCTTGCCTGCCACTCCTGACTCCCAAATCCTTGGAAATATAACTTGGAGGCTCTTAAAATTGTGATGAACCCGCAACTGCCAATACCTGTGCGTTGATTTCCATACTGAATACGATGCATCGTCCTTGAATCCCATTTTGGTTTTGTGTTTGGCACGGAGTGCAAACGTTAGAATATTACTGTGCTGTTGAATTACTGCCTGCTGTATAAATATGAATGTCTTATTCCTGGGTGAGGCTTCATCACTGCTGCCATTTATTTCCATGCTCACCAAGCCTTTCATGCATATTCTGAAAAATGCAAAATTTTACAATTGCTGTCTCTTTTCTTACAGAGTTTATTTTCCTTCTTCTTTCAGACCTGTTTCAGGAAGAAAACACCCTCTTTGGGAGCCGTATATTATTATAAAATTATCTCTATGGGTGTACAATTGCCGTTCTGCCTCGTCCATCCCTCGAAACAAAAGCAGACACGCGGTCTAATTGAAGACTTTCTGTTGCTCTCACAGGTCTACAAGAAGAAAACTGAGGCGGCGAAGAAGGAGTACCTGAAGCAGCTAGCAGCTTACAGAGCCAGCCTCGTATCCAAGGTAACGTGCAATTGTGTGACACTGTGACAGACTGTGGCCATCTCCATGCAGACTCTAATAGTCGCTTAAAAGCACAAACGATCGTGTTAGCATTTCTACACCATTTTCTTTGTTTAAAAAAAAAATTACATCCAAACAAACCTCTGTGCTGTGGAAATAAGTCCATCCCCGGAAGACCAGAGCTATAGCTGGCCTGTGTATGGTAGGCACCATGTACCTGTGGATTGTTGTTGGTTTTGCAGCTAAGCACAGCACCTTCTTCATCAGGAGCTGACCCTAGTCTAACCGGTACGCTCCTTCCGCTGTGTGGACCATTTCTAAGGAGACACCACCCACCTTCATGTCCAGTTTCTTTATATCGGCATCAGGATACAAAGTCCCGTCATCCTGTTCCTCAATGAGTGTATGGAAAAATGAGTGCTTCAGAATGTTTATATGCTAGTCCTTGCTTATTACAGGTAGTAGAGAGTTAACTCTGTTTGGTTTCATGTTACTAAAAACACACTTCCCTTCTCAGTAGGGTGACTACTGAGACTGGTGACGAGAAGGGCTTGATGTAGCAGCTTATCAAATTCAGACTGCTAGCATTTCGTTCACTGTGGCCATAGGCTCTGGACTGCATTGCATTTGTCCACAAAGAAAGAAAGAAAGAAAGAAAGAAAGAAAGAAAGAAAGAAAGAAATGCTTTCTTTTTCTCATCCACAAATATCCATTTCTGTTCTGGTAACCCTTCAAAAAGTACATACATAGGTTTTATCAGTCAAAATACACACTGAACGCGATGACGCAGGGAGGAGAAGAGAAGGCAGATGACAAATGCAGGAAGACGTCAGCAGAGTGTAGCTCCGCTCCGACCTTTGCTGCACATCGAAGCAATGCCACTGCAGGAAGCCTGCTGTTTATGTTGTAAAATCAGATTCTTCTTTCCCACCATGGCATTCAAGTTCTAATTTGTCTAACTGCTTTTAAACGTGTTTGTATGTTCAGCTGAACTCCCAACTCAGTATACAAGCAAAATGCAGACAACGCCCCAAAAAGTTCCCGACAAAGGAAGCCCCCATCACATGGAGGATCCAGCTCACCCTTAGCCACACTGCCGTTAGCAAATTCATATGCTCCGAATGTAAGAGAATTTAGCTCGCGTGATTTTCCGTGAGAGAAAAATCAACATGGGACACATCAGTTCTGATGCAAAGCCTTCTGGCTCATGACATGCAGGTTACTGCAGTAGTGCCACCGTACTGACTAAGCCTTCGCCTCCAAAGCATGCGTCACTGCATTGGCTCTTAGCTGCAGCTTTCCTTCCTGTTCAGCCTCCAAGCTGCAACCCTCAGAACATGGCAATTTGTATAAATGCTACAAATTGCCGTTTCCACATTTAAGAAACCAAGCACATTTTTCTTACGGCTTACTCTGACATTTTTCTTCTCTTTAGCGGTAGGAATTTTTGCTGGAGCTGTTGAATCTCTGTGTATGGTTCTCAATGGTGTGTATACAAATTGGAAGTTTCAATCAGTCTCCGTGGGTCGAAGAGATGACCCTGAAATGCTGCTTGTGAGCAAGTATTTGCTACATAGCCTTCTCCACGACGACAGGAAATGCCCAGCCTGTCTCCCAGTGCATGCGGCACCGTCTATAGAAATCTAGTGTTTTTCCAGTTTAATTAGTGAGACAAAGTAGGACCACTCAAATAGAAATATCAGTTTTTCCATGTTATAGTCTTGTACTATATTATAAATTTGAAGCAACAAAGGGGTAATTATAATTCCAAGGCTCTACCACGTGCCGACTTCATTCTTTTTCGTTGCTGTTGTCCACTAATTCATGGATATGGTAGCAAATTTTCCTGAGCATGTGGATGAACCCCATGGCAGACAGTAGGCAACAAGCAAACTGGACTCTTCCTATAAAAGGCGTGTTTTATTCGTGGAAGGCCACCCCAAGGCCACGTCACAGAAGCTTGGCCAGACTCATTTGCAGAGCCTCTTGGGAGCTGAGGGTCCACAGGAAACTAGACCTCACAGAGCCAAAATGTCCACAGGGAAGCGAGGATGACAGCTCAGAGAAGGCCAGTGTGGCCTCACCTCAGTGGCTAGAGTGGCTGTGAACGGAGCTGGGATTTGGTGTTGGTGTGGGGGTGTGCGTGAGTGAGTGGGCATTGGTAGGGAACTGAGCTGGAAGGGCTCCCTTTATGAGAAAGTGCTCACTTAGAATCCACAGGCTTTATTCCTTGGGAGAGGCTTAGTCACCAGCATACCACCAGAGAAGGAAAGAGCAAGGAACTCAAGGCAACGTTGCTTTTGTTTGGTCCTTGTCTTTCTCTGGGCTGTGTTATTCAGGGTCCTAAACACATCACTCTCCTGTATGGTCCAAGTCCCCGCTCTCCTGAAGTTATAGCATGACAAGGCATATTCTCTCTCTCTCTCTCTCTCTCTCTCTCTCTCTCTCTCTCTCTTCCCCAAAAGGTCATTCTAGCCGTGAATCACTGTGTTAGCCTCACCTGTGCATCCTGGGTCCCTGTCAGTCTCTTCGTGTCTCATCCCTGGAAGTCCACACTTTGGTTATTTTCTATTCAGTGCATCCATTTCTCATGCATTCTGAGCCGATCAATCTCTTTCATGTCTGCTACTGTGTACTGTTTCCATCCCAGGCCATACCGTGTGCCAGTCCGGGGCTGTAGGATGCTACTCCATGTCAGGCTCACTGGAAGATGCTGAAAGACAACACAGATAGGCCAGTCCCTGGGGAAGGTTTCTTGATACTCAGAAGACTTGAAGCTATTCTCTGAAATTAGTTGCTTCTAACAGAACATAACCAAAAATAGAAATATCAGTGAGCCTGAGTTGTGGGAACGACACCTCTTAGTCTTCAGGTTACTTGTACGATGTGGAATATATCCATATGTCCCTTAATACAGCTCCAGACTTGAGTAAAATTGAAATTTACCCCAAAGAAAAAGTCCCAAAGATAGTAAGTGACTCTTCGTACCTCTGTCCTTCAAAATGACAGTCCTGACACATCCTTGGAACTTGCCCCCAATAATAGCATAAATAGGAAAGGCTCCTTGCTGCTGGGTGCCCAGCCCCTCAACCAGCCATTCCTCATGTTAGGCATTGTTCATTGTTCGTAGACTCCTGCTGAAATCACAGCCGCCTTGCGTAGGGTCCATAGGCTTGAGTCCCCTTCCCAAGCAGAAATCAAATGTCTTCCTACCTTGAGGACGGGGCTGGTATTGACATGGAGGAATCACAGCAGTGTCTTATTCTAGCTAGAGCTTCTAGGCTTTTCTCTTAGAAGCTATACCTCTTCCATTTTTCCTAAGAAAATTCTATGCCGACTCTAATCTATTGCTGCGAGTGAGGCTGCCTTGGCTGAAACAAGGCTGGCATCTGGAAGGCTGTCCCCTCTCAGCACCATGTTGTCACTCTCAGATTCTGATCAAAGGTCTGAGGAGTGTGGGAATCCTCACCCACCATCACAGTGCTCCAAGTGGGTGGTGTTTTACCTAGTAGTGTAGTGGAGTGGGAAAACATCATACCAGCCGCTTCTGGCCTCTTCCTACTCCCCGAGCATGCCAGAATTGCTGGGGGCTTCAACTTGAGTCCTGTGTGCAGACAGCGCTGGGAAAGGCCCACAATGATGGATGTAAGCACTATTATTCTTAAAAAGGGCAAAAGGAAAAACACTGGGGTAAAAGATAGTAATAGAGAAAAGAAGATTTCCATTTCTACTCGATGTTCAGAGACATGAGGAGGTTGGAGCCCACACAGGACACCGGGCTACCCACATGTGGCGTTTGGTTTATCTATAGACCAGGTGAGGGGACATTTTAAAGGTAAGGCAGGAGGTCAGGGGTGATTGCCAAAGTCTCAAAGTGCAAGATATAACAATATCTTTTTCTTGAAACTTTTTAAAAATAAAAGCAAAGGTTGTGATTAAGTCACTAGAGGGGCTTCTGAGGTACCTTATCGGTGTTTCTATATGTCATTAAACGGACCATTTCAGAGGACTTCATAGAGGACACCATTGTCAATCTGGAAAAACTTCCGGGGGAAGGGGACAGAAAAGTCAGCAGGGGCTGGATAGATAGCAAAAGAACCTGAGTTCCAGTTCCAGCTTAACCCCTTCCTATCTGCCTGTCCTTAGACAGATACTGAGGCATTCTAAGTTTTAGCTCACTCCAATATTAAGCAGAGAGGATCACAGGACCCTTTAAATAAACTTTCCAGAATAAAATTAAAAGAATCTATGGAACTCAATTTTACAGTTGAAGGCATTATACTGGATGAAGTAAGGCGGTGACATGCGCACCAAGTCCTGGACAGCTGCCCAGGTAGTATCTAAAATAGCCAGGCTCACAGACTTAAAAAGCAAAAAGGTGGTTGCTACTTACTGGGTGAGAAAGAGGAACGCTAGCCTGCGGGCATAAAGTTCCAGCTAGCAGGATGAATTAGCTAAGCCAGTAATGGGCAGGACCTTTTTTTATCCACTTAAAAAGCATGTGAAAAGGGTAGATGTGGTGTTAAGTGATTGCACCACAATAGAATAAATTTTTTTAATTTAAAAATCAGCTTAGGTTTAGGATGTTGAGCAAGGGAAGTTCTTAGTAAATACAAATAATTCGTAGTTACATTTTAATATTATTGGTAAGTATGCATAGGCGTAGTGAAAGAATTGTGTGCGGTTGGAAAGTTAGCTGAATCATAGTTCCGATTTGGTCACGAAGTTATCTTTTCATACAGATATTCTAAAGGTTGCAAAAATAATTTGTTAATATTAACTTAATTATTTAATTTTTTTAAATATTTAATTAATTTTTTTCTGTAGCTCCATCCCATTACAAAGATAGAATTGTTGTAAACGTAAGCAAAAATACATTTGTCTCTGTAGGCTTCTTAATTGAAGTAGGCTTCCTGAATCGCGTGAAGAAGACTCTGAGAGACTAGAGTCTTTTTAGCTTAGGCAGCTTTGTTCACGATGGAAGGTCAGACTGAATTGGGCTATTAAATACAGCTTAAGGAAATATACCTTTTCCATAGACTAAGAAATTCCTAGACATGAGTCTAAATCATTATACTGAGAGCAATACGGAACTTTGAAGCAACGAAAGTGGTTTCATTTCACCAGGATTTATATTCCCCCAATGAGTGTTGCATTCAAAAGAGTCACCTTGGGAGGCCAGAAACTCATTTTTTTATTGCTCCCAGGGTTCAAGAGATGTTTTTCAAACTCCTGGGTAGATCTGCAGTCAGGAGAAGTTTATGAAGCTCTCTAAAAAATCAATCTTGTTACATTATTTTCACACCTCATTCTTTTCTCCAAACATCACCAAGATAGAAGCCACAACTTTGGCTTCAACTCACTTTTTTAGCTAGTTCTAAAAACTGAATTCACCATCAAAAGACAAGAAAGCTGTGTGAGGATATGTGAAATTCCAGCAGAGAAGTCCTGAAACATCCCCCCCCCCCCCCCCCCCCCCCCCCCCCCCCCGTGACAGCCGCAGTCCTGGATGAGAAGGCAGCTCAGAAGACAGCTCAGGAGAAAGCCTTTGGGAGCCTGTGTACAGATAGTAAAAGCAATGCCTTCGTTGCCTGGGGCCACCCATAAGTGTGACATTCTTATTTGTAGAAGCCATGTTAGGGTCTCCATTGCTTTGATGAAACACCATGACCAAGGAACTTGGAGAAGAAAGGATTTATTTGGCCTACCTATCCATAGTCCTGGAGGCAGGAGCTGACAGAGGGCCAGGGAGGAGTTTGGCTCACTGACTTGTTCTACATGGCTTGCTTAGCCTATTTTCTCATAGAACCCAGGACCAGCAGCCCAGGGGTGACACCACCCATAGGGGTGGCACCACCCAAAATGGACTGGGCCCTCCCACATCAATCACTCATTAAGAAAATGCCCTACATGCTGGCCTATCTTATAGAGGCATTTTCTCGACTGTGGCTTCTTTTTCTTTAAGTTGATGTAAAACTAGGCAGTACAAGGGGCAAGGGGCAAATCAATGTGTGTGTGTGTGTGTGTGTGTGTGTGTGTGTGTACATGTTTGTATGAAAGAGTGTATGCCACAGTGAGCCATGTGATAGGGGACAATCTCATTGTGGGTCCCCACCCACCTTGTTGGAGACAGGCTGTCTTTTTCACTGCTGGGCTCTCCAAGCCCGTAAGCTTCTGGATTCGCTTGTCTCTGTCCACCTCGCTGTAGCTTATCGCTGCGTACTACTGCTGCATCCACCGAGATTTCTTCCCAACCTTAAGAAGGACGGTGTCAAAGCTTAGGACTGTGAAAACGCTTCCTTAAAAAACATATAGCACAGGATGGTAGCTAAGTAAGTAAATTAAGCTCTCTGAGGCTGTCATCCATAATAAAGAAACTCAAGGCCTGGTTTAAATTAAAGCAGAGTAAATTAGAAACAAAGCAATGTTTTCTCTTTTGGAGAATGAGATAAAGTTGCAGAATTCAGAATGCATACTGTGGAGGGCGATTGAGACAAACAGTAAGTGCGAATTTGCAAATGGGATGGATCATTTTATAACTGGTAACATCAAATCTGAAGCTCTGAGCCAAGATTGTGATTTAAAGACAATAAAATCTCATGCTTCAGTGTATAAGTTAATCACTGGCAAGGGCCAGGAAGGATTTGCTTCCCAGAAGTAACAATGGACAGTAGAGGAGGTGCATAAATTTTGTTTAATTTTCAATGCATCAAGTATTGGTCAGTCCTGAAAACAAGAATCAAATTAGATAGACTATTAATTTGATTTGGTCCAGCAACTCTTATATTATTGCTTCCACTGAGTTTTATGTCTTGTATTTATACTTGGCTATTTTAAATAACAATTATTTTTTCAATCTTTCATTTTTATAGCGCACATCATGCCAGAATGGAGGCATTTATACACTCTGTAGCATCATCTTCATTATACAAAGTAAATAAGAATATAGTTCTCTTGGATAGTGATAACTTGCTTAATAAGAACTCTTCTTAAGCCATTTAGTGCTGGACCCTTTGTACGTTTTGCCCATATGAAAGAGAATCTTCATGATAAGACCCAAAAGGTCTCTATTGTTACTAGCTCTCTTTTTTCCCTAAAGATGTCAACCAGATCCCATGGTTCAAATTCCAAGAGGACAGAGAACATAGTTAGAAGCCAGTAGTGAATGACAGGCCAGACATGATGTGAGGTAGAGCCCTGACCTAGCACGATGGGGTCTTGTGTCCAGTCCCCAGCACTGAAGAAACAAATGTCTAATGAACACATCTCTCCTCTAAAAATATCCAATGCCTTGGCTAACTTTCAGTTTATACTAATAACACCATGTTTCTCAGACACTCAAGATGAGTCATTGCAAAATGAAGAAAAGGCTGAAAGTAGAAACAAACTTAAGTTATTTAACACATATGAGAGAGTCCTTCTGATTTCTAATTGGCAGGTATGGAGACCTTATATGTAGTGCAGCTGATGTTCAGAACTGTTGCATTGCTTTTGCATTTTGATTGGAAGAACAGTGAAGGAATACTAAACATATGATTTGACTCGTTCCTTGCTCTCTTCCCTCAGAGAATGAAGAGCTAGGTGCTGCCCCAGGAGGCCATGCCAAAGGGCTAATCTTCAATTCCTTTCAGCTTCCACTGAAAGATCTGGTTTTTAAGTCAATTAAAAGGATATTAGGTGTGGAAAATTTAGGGCAAGATTATATTAATTTGTGATGGCATCTAAAATATCAAAGAGAAATTATTTTTATCCACTTCATTAGGAGGAACAATTTATCACCAATTTATCAGCAACTCCTTTTCTAAAAATAAAGAAAAATCAAGTTCTGTGGTTCCTTTGAAGACATGCTAGTCTGATTTTCCATGAGTTTTGGAAGGCATTTTAGACCTCTTCTGTAGCCACGGCTCTCACTGTCCTTGTTTTCTTTGTGAAAATACCTAGAGCCCAGGCTCTGTGCAAACACAAAGAGAAGAAGCTAAGCTTATGATCAGTGGGAGAGCTGAACTGAACTGCTTGGAAAGTGAGATAAGTTAGTGATAATGGTGTCCTCCTGCATCTTTTATCTGCCTCTTGATGACCAAAATAGTCCGTCATAGTCGAGAGTTTAGGCAAAGGGAAAAGATTGAAAAGTCATTACAGTGTGCTTTGGATTTCATAGAGGAGGTAGAAACTCGGTGTTGCATAAGTTACATTAAAAATAGCAATAGAAGGATCCTTAGATAAGAGACACAAGAATAGTCACAAGTGTTGATTCTCATGAAAGTCCGTGAGAAAATTCACAAACATTCTGGGAGTAGCATCACGCTCAGAGACCTGTCTCCTAACGCTGCTTTCCTTTGTTCCCTCTGCAGAGCTACAGTGATCCTGTGGATGTGAAGACATCTCAGCCACCCCAGCTGGTCAACTCGAAGCCGTCAGTGTTCCACGGGCCCAGCCAGGCCCACTCAGCTCTGTACCTAAGTTCTCACTATCACCAACAACCAGGAATGAATCCTCACCTCACCGCCATGCACCCAAGCCTCCCCAGGAACATAGCACCCAAGCCGAATAACCAAATGCCAGTGACTGTCTCCATAGCCAACATGGCTGTGTCCCCACCACCGCCCCTCCAGATCAGCCCGCCTCTTCACCAGCACCTCACCATGCAACAGCATCAGCCTCTTGCCATGCAGCAGCCCCTCGGGAGCCAGCTCCCCATGCAGGTCCAGTCTGCCTTACACTCGCCCACCATGCAACAAGTAAGTCTCTATGCTTGGGTTCTGCGCACCTCTGGAGGACTGGGGGCAGGGAGGGCTGTCTATCAAACCAAGGAGACAAGGGTAGTTGTTCTATTGAAATGGAGAGAAAACTGTGGGCATTTGTCAGACTTACATCTGGAAAATGTCACTTATAAGTGGAGCGTGGTCAGAGTCACCATCCCAGGCACTGATAGCCCTCCCTTTCAAATCACTGGTTTCTTTCCCAAGACATATCAACTTGGTGCTCTCTTGCTGCTGCCCCCTTTGTTTCTGGTTTCAGTTTCTTTAGTGATTGCGTGCGCTAAGATGCCATGTGTACCACGGATCTTGTTGAAACCGTCTGCAATTTCTTTTTAATGTCATTAGGAAATGAGGCTTTTTGACTAGGCCGACCCTTGAGTTCAATAATTAGTATGAAATAAAATCAGATTCAATACCAAATTTAGTAGAGCCCTAAAATGCTATGACCCAAACAGTAACTGGAGCTTCATTTTGAAATGTACATAAGGAGCCTGTGGGGAGAGGGGTATTTTGCCAGCAAGTGGCAGGCCCTGCATTTAATCCCTAGCATTGCAAATGCAAGTGTGTAAGTGTGTGTGTGTGTGTGTGTGTGTGTGTGTGTGTGTGTGTGTGTGTGTTGGGGGAATCTGTCTGCACAATTTAGAAAGCGGGAGAGGTATCAGGATAATCTTGTTTAGTTTTTATTTGCAAACAAATTTTATTTTCATATTTTTTCAGACATTGGTGCTCTTTCGTAATTTGAGAATTAGGAGCATCTATAAATTCAATGGAACATAAAATATTCAAAACCCTGAAAGCTCACTTTAGAAAAAGGTTAAAATCTACCAATCATAGCCACCCTAACCACCGCCTTTACCATTCAACTATGTTTTTCCTAGAGTTATGAGTAAACACATAGGCACAGCCTCCTGCAAAATTCATATCTTGTTATGGTACACAGAATGCATGCTTGCCTGAACAGTAAGGAAAGGGGAGGCAGAAGGATGAGTCATGTTGAAGAAGTCTAAAATGTCTTGTATTATGATTATTATAGACAGGGTTTTTTAAAGCTGGCTACAGTAAACCCAGTACTTAGCGCTTAAATTCTCAGAAAGCTCACAGTGTGGTTTCTAGTCCTGTCTTCATTTTATGGATAGATAAACTGAGGCTTGGCAGGTAAGAGTTTTGAACTCACAAAGTGAGAACTGGATTCAAATGCAGATCCAATCAGAGCTCAGAAGCATCATTCTGAATGTTCAGGACTCGCCTCTCAACCTCATTCTTTCTTGTAGATTATTAACAGATTTGTATCCGAAAGCCTGTGTCTTCAAAGACAACTTTTAAATCTAAGTTACTTGTAAAATCAAATTTTTATGAAACAAAAAAAGAATTCATCATCTCACTGTCTTTCTTGATTCCTAAACCAAATATATGAGTAGCTATCTTTCTTACCTACACACCACAACCTGAGGCTGAAGCTGAATCACTTAGAAGGAAGACCACAGTGGTAACAGATCCCAGCCTCCAGCCCTGTCTCCAAGTGCTTTATGACCAAGAGAAACTTATGGGGTAGAAGCCTCACCCTGTATGTACATCAGACATTACTCAGGGAAATGGACTTAACTGAATGCCTTTGTACTGTAGTGAGTCAATGGTTTCTGCTTGAAGAATAAGCAATTTGAGGGCTGTCACCTTCACTTGGGTGGGTTGACACCAGCTTGCAGGTGCTGTGGGCTCCAAGCACATGTGTTGATCACTATGCTATAGTTCATCTGCTTCTTCCAGAGAGAAAGAGGCCCCTAGGCAAAGGGACAGACCTATCCAGAAAGGGAACCTTTCCTAATTTGTCCATGCAGGAATGTCTCCTTCTTTTTCTTTTGTTGAAACCTTGGATAAGATAAGGGTCACCAGGAATAGATTTCTGCTATTTGAGAATTATAAAAGATTACTTGTAAAACCTCAAGAGATATAGTTCACCAGACAGAATCTAAATGGGGATGGAGTAACTCATGTTATCTTGAGCAAGGTATTTATCAAACTATAAGTCAGCTTTGTTAGTGTATCTCAAAAGGTGTCTGGGGTTAGAGCTCATAATAAAAGATAATGGCAGGAGCTCAAAATGAAAAAAAATAGCTATAGAGATGGCATTGACTAAAATCATTTTCAACAATGTAGGCTCTTAGTAAAATAACTATGGAATAATAAACCTCTAAAAATTAAATGGTTAGTATGCTATACTCCTTGGAGAAATTGTAGTCTTAATTCCTTGAAAGTTAAAAAAATTATGATGATAAAAGTAATTTAAATAAGTCCTAACACATGTTAGGCACTGCCTGGACTCTTCTAGGAATCTGGAGAAAGAGACCCATGCTCCCTGGAATTGGAGCACGGGATGCGATAGCAGCAAGGTAACGAGCAGCACTCCAATAGCAAATAGACAGGAAGACACTGGCTTGAGGAGAAAGGCAGAGATCACTTTCACAGCCCTCTCAACAGCTGCAGAGACCAAAGATGCAAAGAACAGCAAAGTTAAAACACACGGGAAGTGGGTAGTAAGATTGTGAGGGAATTCCAGGAAAGACCAGTAACAGGAAAAATAGATTCCGGGAGATGAGAAAGATGGGGACAGTATCTGCATCTTAGACAGGTGCACAGAGCAGGGAGCCAGCAGACCATAAGCCAAGATGGAAGAGTTGGCCCCAACAGATTGGATGCAGCTGACTCTCAACAGCTTGTCGCGTTCACTATTCTCGTCACGAATGAGAGGTTAGCCTGTAGATTCAGGTTGACCTGCCTGATTTGTCACCCAATCCACCTTCATCCTGAAGGTGTTTGCTGCCTAATATGTTGACCACCTTCCTATCTAAATACCGAAAAAGAGAAAGAGAGAAAAGAGAGCTAATAGCTACTGTGCGCGTTTTAAAGATGGCCTCAGATTCCAGTTTTACTCTTGATAATTTATTATCCCTCTGAAAATGAGTGTTGCCAACTGTAACAATAACGAGAAAATGATCGTTAGTTTGTGTACCAAGAGTGATAGTTCCATTGTTTTCTTAACAATATCTTATACACTAAGCCCACGGACCTACTTTTTTTGTTTCCGTTTTCTTTCTGTCTCTCAGTGCACTTTTATTGTGGAATGAGGTCAAGAAAAAAAATCATTCATATCTGTCACTTTCCTTTATAACCTTAAGAAAAAAATCTTTGTAAGGTACCACAGACAGATTTTCAATTTTCTTGTGTAGTAAACAGCTGCTTTAGGATTTGGGTGTAATTTAAAGTTTTTTTTTTAAATCACATTGAGATTGATGAATAAATCAGTCATAAAGACAAAACATTGATGCCTGTTGAAAATACCTCTCCAGACAGGCAGGAAATGAAATTAGTTTGCAGCGTGGTGTGGCTATGAGGATCACTGCTTGGTGGTGCTACAGGCTTTTTCAGACTTGCTGTGTAGCAAAGGAAAACTGGGAGGGTTATGGGAATCTAATTAAAGAGCAAATGTCCCTTCTGACATCAAATTCATCTTTATCATGTTTCCTATTTTTATTTCAATCTGGCACCAGAAAATGAAATTTAAAATTCCAGGCATGCTACAAAACAGTTGGTGATTTTTCTCCCCAGCATTAAAATGCAAAATATTCAGTCTCGTTTAATTAGACTGCTAAGCAAACATTTTTCAAAAAATTTATCTCATCATTGTTGTTTCCTAGTTACATCCATAATGGGAGTGTACTTAGCTCAAGGGTTGACCTCAGCATCTCCTTCTGCAGTGTTCTGAGGCGTGTTTCCATTTCTATTTTGAAAGCAAAATAATATTAAATACTGTTACTTTGGTCCACACCTATGTTTTTCTTGGTCCTTGGTTGTTTGGACAGCTATTTAAATGTAGATTTTGAGGGTAGCATAATTTTCCATGTTGGAACTTTGTAGATATCACATGGTTTTGTGTTAAGCTAGTAATTTAAAATATATTTTCCTTATATTCTGGCTCAGCCTGTGGAACTATTTCCATTGTGTGTATTATTTCTCCTCAGGTCCAAACCTTCACCTAACTCAGGCTATTTCCAGTTCCTTTTTATTTTGATCCTTGTTTGCTTTTAGGTTACATTTTGTCAGTTGTGTGGAAAACCCAACAGACAACTTCACACTACAAAGACAAATTAGCCCTGACATTTACATGTTCACTTTGGCCTTTCTTACAGTAGCATCAAATGGTCTTTATTTCTTGAAAAACACTATTTCATTGCTCTGCTGTCATAGGCTGGGCCCTGAGAGGACCCAGTAGGCCCTGCAAACACTGATCACCGTGTCCCCCAGGCACCCTGGAGATGGGCTCCATGGTGAAAGGAACCAATAGAGAGAGGGTCTCTCAGAACCTTTCCCTGCTTTCCACCTAGCCTCACACTAGACACCAGGAAGAAAAAAAAACTGAGAAGGTGGGCAATAGGGCAGGACCAGAGAAATTAAGGTATTTCACTGAGGCCAGTGAGACTCCTTCCGTGTTGGAAACCCAGGAAGACCAAGAGAAGGGTGAAACTGCCTTCCCCTAGGAAGGTGCTTCCCACCTGAGCTACAGGGATCTTTCCTACTTAGGAAATCTATTGCTTTTAGTCTTCATTGGAACAACTACCAGTGTTACTCAATTCTGGTGACTGGTTTCCCATCATCCTGAATTCTGTCTCTCTGCAGTTTCTTGGGGGTAGAAGTGGCCATGGCTCTGCAGCCCTTATCTTTGGAATGGCAAATCAATGGACCCCTGAAAGCCAACCAGAATATTCAGGAAAATTGACCTGAGATGTGGTCTTCAGATCGCTATGTGAGGGACCACCCACATATGTGTAAAAATCCGAGGAAAATATTTTTAGTTAGAGATCCACCCACTCACCCCCTTGCTGAGTGGAAGGGAAATCATCGATAGTATTTCACGTCCAAAGCTCCTTGCACTTGAAGCAAACAGAGCATGGTACGTTAGTAATCAGAATTTCTTGGGTGTTAAAAACCATGGCTAGAATCTGCTGCAGAGACAACCAGGAGATTAAGGAAGGTGCTTTCTGCTGCTTCTGCTGCTCTTGAGTTCACCAAATAAACTAAAAATATATTGTGTATAATATTTTTTGTTTACCAGATATAGCTATATACTTCAGAGATCCTGCCCTTGAATTTTTAATAGCTTTACTGGGATTAAAAGTCAACACTTCACTATACTAGCGCATTAAAAAAAAAATCTTCCTGAAGTCTGAGTATTGTTGCCAGCTAAGAGACTTCAATTAAAAATGTTTGCTGTCTTTACACGTTTCCTTCCCTGTGTTTTCCAATGGCAAGTTGCTTTCCGTCTCCCTGAATTCATCCAACAACTGATTAAAAAAAAATAGCTTTGGTTGAAATGTTTAGCTGATAGAGAAATACAAATGAAGAAAAAGGAGAAGCAGATGGCCCCATTGTGACTGAATGGGGAATTGTGTGAATAGGTGTAGGCTAATAAAACACTCAGCCACCTGCTGCCTGAAGCCTCAAGAAGACTCTGTTGCTTGTTCTGGGGATTAGCTATTAATGTATCTTTAGGTTGATGGAAAACATCAGCGGTGAGAGGCTTAAGCTCACTGTCCCTTTGCTTGGCTTGAGTTGGCTTTTCTATATTTTAAATTGTTTCCCAACTCAATTTATCTGCCCAGGGCTGTAATGAAAAGATTTTTGACACGTGGTTTGGCGGGCGATGGAAGGGTAAGAAGAATAAGGTGATGGATGCTTTTTTTCTACTTTACGAGGTGGGGAGGGTCCTTCTGTGGGTTGCTGCAGAAGCAAGGGGCCCAAGATGTTGACAGGCGTAGATAACTATGCCCTTGCTTTCCTCTTTCAAAAGCCACTGCCTTTCTCAAGTGAGAATTTGCTTTTCCCTCAGGGATTTACTCTTCAACCCGACTATCAGACGATTATCAGCCCCACATCTACAGCCGCACAAGTTGTCACCCAAGCGATGGAGTACGTGCGCTCTGGGTGCAGAAATCCTCCCGCACAGCCGGTGGACTGGAATAACGAGTACTGCAGTAGTGGGTGAGCTGCCAGCCATTGCCACCTGGTGGCCGTGGGTCTCACAGCGCATGCGCGCCTGGGCAGGGGCAAAGGTTCCACGGGACAGGGAGGCTTCAAGAAAGTAAGGTCCGAAAACATGGGGAGCCAGCTTCTAGCCTTTCCAAGACTAAAAGCCTTCACGTTTCTCTTTGCTATGGACTTAGGTCCACTACCTGCGCGCTCCCCACCCGACCTTACCCCGAGCTAGAACAAATACGACCCTCACCCCACCCCCGGCCGCACCACCACCCACTGTGGCTCTGATTTTCTTATAACAGTGTTTTCTCTGCACACAGGGGCATGCAGAGGGACAAAGCGCTGTACCTCACCTGAAAACCTCACCGCCTCTCTTTTCCACTGAGGAGTTCAGGGAAGTCTTTTCATCGCGGATTGCAGTTCTTCATTTTATTAGAAAATTCAAGTTGCTAAGCACTTAGGACCATGTGAGCTTGTGGGTCACCCACTCTGGAAGAAAATAGTCATGCTTCGTTATTATTTTTTTAATCTTTTTCTGGACATTGTTCCTCTTCCCTGCAGGAAGTATGGACAGTTCTGATTTCTGTTGGGTTTGCTGTGAAGTGCTGCGCTCTAGTAACTGCCTTAGCAACGGTAGCGGTCTGGGGTAAAGGTCCGGGGTTTTCCATTGGTTTTCAGAATGGGTGTTTATATGGAACTACTAAAGACTTTTTAAATGGCTTGATGTAGCAGTCATAGCAAGTTTGTAAATAGCATCTATGTTACACTCTCCTAGAGTATAAAATGTGACGGTTTTTGTAGCTAAACTGTAATTTGAAACTGGCTCGCCCCAGTTGGTTTATTTCACAGAGGGGTTAAATTGGCAAACATTCATATTTTTACTTCATTTTTAAAAAAACAACTGATTAATAGTTCTATATTTTCAAAATACTTGAAAAATATTCCCAAATGATTTTAATTTAAAAACAAATTGGCTTTGTCTTCTGATCAGACACAAAGAACCTAGTGTGGAGGGAAACGCAAACACATTTATTTTGTATTCCAGAAAAAAAAAATCCTTTTTGTATCACTTTTGTGTAATGATTAGTAAATGTCATCTATCTGAGTCCTTTGATGTATAAAGCTGCCAAATGCTCGCCCGGGGTCTTCGCTGCAGAACCAGGTTGGGAAGCGCTAAGTGATCATCTTTAAGGCTCTGTATTATTGTTTCCTCATACCGTGTCTGTATTTAATCTTTTTTTATGGAACTTGTTGCGCCTATTTATGAAATAATAAATATAGGTGTTTGTAAGTAAATTCGTTAGAATTTGAAAGAGGTTTCATTGATGTTTTAATTTTTGCTGGCAAAAAAACCAAGTCCAGGCTTGGTGTGAATGCACCAGGCTTGGTGTGAATGCACCAGGCTTGGTGTGAATGCACCAGGCTTGGTGTGAATGCACCAGGCTTGGTGTGAATACTTATTTAGTTTTTACAGTGACATGAACAAAGCAAACTCTGCTTTTCATTTAATAGCAAATTAGAGTAACGAACCCATATTTCTGCATATCTTTTGTTGGCATAAAAGAAAAACAGTTCTACTTAGCAACCTTCTCTTTTTGCACAACACAAAAGAAAAATGGCCCAGAAGTCTCACACGCTCCAAGCCTAAACCAACATACACCAGCGCACCCTCTTCCTAAAAAGAGATGGCTCTCACTTCTCAATCCCAAAACTTGTGCTCCCCATTTAAAAAACAAATTCAAGTTGAGTCACCAAAAATTCCTCAAGTCTCATGCTCCTCGCGGCATCCAGGAAGCATTTAAGAATTGACCAAGGGTTCAGGAAGAGATCAAAAGAAGGCATAGTGTCTAGAATCAACCTAGAAATGTAAGGCGAGCTACCAGACAGCCAAAGAAATAAGAAAAGCAGCCAGAAGTGGAAGCTTTTGCTAGAAGTTGAGAGTCCTTCTCTCTCCTCTCTCTCTCTCTCTCTCTCTCTCTCTCTCTCTCTCTCTCCTCCTTCTCCTCCTCCTCCTCCTCCTCCTCCTCCTCCTCCTCCTCCTTTCTTCCCCTTTCACCTACCCTGGGGCCCTACTGAGATTCGCTAAAGGGGGAGATGGGGATTGCAGCACATAAATTAATCTGGTTGGAAATCAAGAGAGAGCTGTTGTGTGGAATGGATGGAATAACGGCAGCTATTTCAATACAAATAGATTATGTAATCCGGTCAGAATTAAAAAGACAAAAGGCGTGCTTGCTTTGGAATGGTTTTCAGGCATTGTACAACAGTGATCACTCAGCATGTAATAACTAATAAATAATGCAGATCCAATGTTATTATTAAAATGACTGGGGCTGAGAGCTCGAGTTTTCCTGTCTTGATATTGTCTAAGAACTCACATGACTAAGATCACAGTTTATTGCTTGGCTGTTTAGTATTTTAGAAATATTCCAGCACTACTAATTAACTAATGTCTTCTATTTGTTACATTATGAAACAGGAGAGCTTTCTCCTGCACGAGGTGTAAACTGAGAAGTGAGGCCACCAGCTCAGTCAAGAGGTTCATCCAGGACATTGTCTGCAGCTTTTCCCAGCAGGCACATGATCGGGACAAAAGGAACAAATATGCCAAATATGAAAATAGATTATCAATAAAGCACATGGCTGTGTTCTACTTGGAGATGCCTCCGATTCTAAAGGATGTGCCTAGTCAAATGAGGAATCCTATGTAAATTTCAGGCCAGAGATAACAGAGCACAATAGTCATTAATAGTCGAAATAGCTTTAGAAGTTCTTTTTCAAAACTCCAGGAGTGTCTCTCTCCAGTCAAAGAAATCCACCGTTTTTAGTTCTGCCATCTTCAGACACAGACAACTTAGACTCAACTAACTTGTTACCCAGAGGAGCGGTGATTCCTGGGTAGAGAGCAAAGACAGTCGAAGACTCAACAATGGTACTGAACATAACGTATGTTCGCTAGCATATCCCAAATCAGAATTCTTGCTAAGCAGAGAAAGAAAACAGTGTGCCAGTGAGTGCCATGGGGGGACTGGGCTGAGTTTTTAACCAAAAGAAAGAATGATGCTCTAAAACCCCCGGAAGAGAGTGAGCTGACAACAATAGGAAATGGGAAATGATTCCGATAATGGCTTGCACAGGATCCAATTAAGGAACACGGCTAAAGATGACGTTGTCTTTGAGAATAATCTTTATCCGCCTTCTACATGGACCCTTAAGCTATGCACAGAGCACCAAAATTAACAAAAGCAGTGCTTGCTGCTGTCCTAGCAAAGATTCACTGTGAATAAAGTTTTTAATCAAAAGGCAAAGCCTCGAGTGAGAGCCTCCATCTATCTCCTTCTTCCATTCCCAAGAGTTGCCCCACCCCAGGCAAAGCCATTAGCTTGACCCTTGTGACATGGACAGTTTTCGCCCTTTTCAAAAGCGTGAGAAGCCGTTTCAGACGGTCCACCTGAAGATGGAGGTAAGAACTGGAAGCAACAATGCTTCCAGCTGTAGCTTTAAATATAATCAATAAGGCAGCTTAAAGTACTTTACAAAGCACTAAGTGAAAACACTCGAAAAGTAGCTGATAGGTTGCTGACACATTACCCCACTTAGAATCCGTGTTAGAAAGCTATGACCATGAACAAATATCATAAACTGGATCAGTGCTGCTGTTAGAAGGAACTTGTAGATAGAAATTCACAATAACCATCTTGTCTACTGAAACGCGAAAACAGTTAGACATAGCTGTTCTGGTAACACTGTCTGTAGAACTGACCTACAGTAAGTATTCTTCTACTGTTAATTCTCACTTGAACGTGGGCATGGAAAGACAGCAAACTCCCTAACTCTGATGCTCATGGCTGGATACTGAAACAGTGACAAAACAAAAGTCAAGAGCAAAATAAGTCTAGCCTCTAAGTATATAAATCAGTCATAGTCAAACAACTCCCCCATCCCCCGCTGCCTTCCTCGAAATTAAGTGGTTTTCATATCTTTTACTGGGATAGCACACCGTACTACATAGTAAATAATGTTGAAACAAGCAAGAAAACAGCTAGGGAGCAGTGGCGCATGCCTTTAATCCCAGGCAGAGGCAGGTGAATCTCTGTGAGTTCGAGACCAGCCTGGTCTAAAAGAGCTAGTTCCAGGACAGGCTCCAAAGCTACAGAGAAAGGAAAAGCCAGCAAGAAAACACCGTAAGTTAACCTCAACATAAATTATATGATGTTTCCTTTTAAATACAGAAACAAATGAAATAATTTGCTTAAAAGGAAGCATTATTAAGGGGAAAGGATAAAAACACTTCAGCCAGAAACCCAAGACTATGATAGTTTGAACACCTGGGGCATGGTGGCATGCACCTTTAATCCTAGCAGGCTGAGGTAGGAACTACAGGAGTCCAAAGTCAGTCTGGTCTACATAGCAAGTTCCAGGCCAGCCATGACTACAGAATAAACCTTCTCAAAAGAAAGAGAAAGGGGGAGGCAGGGAAAGGGAGAGAGAGAAAGAGACAGAGAGAGAAGTCTAGTCATAACAAGCAAGAGATATATACCCTTGGCACACCAAGAAAAGAAAACACAAGCAAGGGGAAGGTGCTAGACTTGTGGAGGTGCCGAGAGCAAGACAGAAATCTCAGGAAACAAATGCATGGATGCTAAATTCAAACGCTGATGAAAGACAAGGAGACTGTGGGAAGACCTTTCCCAACAAACATATCTCCAGGTACTTGGGGAAGTGGAATTGGGAAGGGGGCTGTGACCCCAGGGGCAGAAAAGCCTTCAGGACTGAGAGAGAGCCAGGGGCATCTGACGTTGGCTGGTTGATACTTAACCAAATCTTTGCATCCAGCGTCAGAGTCCATGTCAAGGGAAGTTGGGGTCCTTGTTCCCTTGTGGACACCCAGGAGCAGTGACGGTTGTATTTCAACATCAGCAGCTCCTAGGCTGATGACGGAAGCCCCCCTGCATGGCTGCTTCACGTTTATCATCGGCTTGCTAGCAAAGACTCTGGAAAGTGAAATTTCACTCGCACTGACGTGAGGCCAGAAGTGAGCGGGGGGGGGGGGGGGGGGGGGGATGACTAGACAATAAAATAGAAAGACAACTCGGCAGGGAAAATAAGAATACTGTTCTCAACATTCTATGAACAAAAGTAGAGTATTTTTAAAGTCTTCTGTGTCCCTGTTTGACAATCGTGTGTTTACAATAAGCCCAAACATAATTGTTGTGATGGGCTGTCAGGGAAAAGATTAATTTGGCAAAGATTAGTATTGACTTGCTGTTTATTAAGGCTTTTAAACAGCTGGATCTGGCAGCATTCCTGTAAGTGACTGTCATCACGGAACAGCAGCCTCAAACTCTGGTGCTCGCCAGCTGTTACTGCACAATCTTCCAGCGCTAGGAACGTCTTTCTCCAGGCCAAATGGCAAGAACAACTATTGCCAAAGGAGACCTTCCCTCCTCCTGTCCCTATTTTTTTGGGGGAGGCAGGGTGGGGAGCTACTCAGCGCTGAAATGTCAGCACAGGCCTGATGGTTTAGCTGATAAAGGGGGCCAGAAACCAGTGGTTGGTTTGGGTGCTGGGTGAACACAGCTCCCCCATACAGTGTTGCGCTGTTAGTCATGTCACAAAGGCAAGAAAACTCAGCCTGCCATTGTTGTTGGTAAAAGGTTTTAAAGACAGAGGCGTGCTATCAAAGGTTCGGAGCCATTAGAATTCTAAAATTCACCAACTTCTGTCCCCCAGCTTGGGATATCCTGCATCACTTGAAAGAGACAAGTCAAGGGGAAGCAGAGAGAAAGTTGGATAGTGCCCATCAGTTTACAGCACAGGCATTGGGGATGGGGAGCTCTGGGACTTCCATAAAGGACAAACCCCTTGGCAAAACACATCCATTGCTCCGATTCAGTGGAAAACTACAGACTGAGACCACTTCACTTGACGTCTCGAAAAGAAAAGATGGATTGAGAATTGTACTGGGCCAGGACCCAAGGTCTTTCACAAGACGTGGAAAGAACAACATTGCTGTGTTCTAAACACCAGCTTAGACACAGCTTCTACAAAGCTTCAACACAGTGGTGGAAGCCATATCAGCCTTCCTGGTATGCCTGGGGTGAGGCTTCATCTCAACATCTCTGTGTCTCATTGGGCTTTGATGAGCTATCAGAGCAGACTCACGAGGACATGGTGCTCCCTAATATTCCTCAGTTGGCATTTCTCAATGCATTAGGGCACAAGGAGGAACCAAGCTAAGAGTTGACCTTTCTAAAAAGGACTTTAAAACAGATGCGGAAACTTCACTGAA